AGGCAGAAGGGCAGGCCCCAAAACAAGAGCACCTAGGCAGGGAAAACAATAAGGATTTGGGGACCTGACATAGGACCTTCCGAAGGTTTTTCCTGACATACAGTGCAGTGTACGGAGCTGTACATGTTCGCCCTCTTGTGGCGGATGCAAGCCATGGACTCGGTCCTCTTTTGTGAGTCCCAGTAAGAAATTAAACCCACCCTGAAGCCGGGATTTTGATAACAGCTGGGAATTGCGAACGCTTAATGAGTGATCAAAGAGAGGGACAAAATGAAAGCCACCCCAAAGAATTATTACAGGGCAGCCCGTGATTTATTGTGTAAAGTTGTGTTTGGTTTGTTGCGCCGGCCAGAGTTAATAAACAAATAAATGTATAACGAAACAGTTTGCAAAAACAGTTTTTTTTTAAAAAAAGCACCTTTGAGACAACTGAATAAAGTGCAGGTTGTCCTCAACTTACAATGTCTCATTTAGTGGCCGTTCAAAATTAGAATGGCACTGAAAAAAAGTGATTTAGGACCCTTTTCACACTTCGGACCGTTGTGTCCTCAGGGTCACCTGAGTGGTGCAAATGGGTGTGGAGCCTTCTTGGAACTGCTCAAAGAGGCCACCTGTGTCAAAACTGAACAGCCCTCTCTCAACAGTGTGTGTGTGTGTGGGGGGGGGAATACAACATCACCTATCTCCAGTCGACAACACAGTCCTTTCAGCAGTTCCAAGAAAGCTCCACTCCCAGTTGCACCACTCAGGTGACCCTGAGGACACAGATAAGCCTCCAAGTGGCCTCAACAACTCTCTAAAAGGATGCAAATGACTGCTTTTTACCATGGTTTTGCCAAAAAATTGGCATTTATTTCCGTTTTTGGCAAAACCAGCTCACAGCCCACCATTGGTTTGCTTAATTATCACTTTCTTGACAGTTACCTTCTGTTCTGTTCTGTTCTTAGTCTAGTCTAGTCTAGTCTATTCTAGTCTATATGCTATTCTATATTCTAGTCTAGTCTAGTCTAGTCTAGTCTCTGTTCTGTTCTACTCTATTCTATTCTATTCTATTGTATCCTATCCTATCCTATCCTATCCCATTCTATTCTGTTCTGTTCTATTCCATTCCATTCCATTCCATATTCTATTCTGTTCTGTTCTATTCTATTCTATTCTATTCTATTCTATTCTATTCTATTCTATTCTATTCTATTCTATTCTATTCTATTCTATTCTATTCCATTTCATTCCATTCCATTCCATTCCATTCTATTCCATTCCATATTCTATTCTATTCCATTCCATTCCATTCCATTCTATTCTATTCTATTCCATTCCATTCCATATTCTATTCTATTCCATTCCATTCCATTCTATTCTATTCTATTCCATTCCATTCCATTTCATTCCATTCCATTCCATTCCATTCTATTCCATTCCATATTCTATTCCATTCCATTCCATTCCATTCCATTCTATTCTATTCTATTCCATTCCATTCCATATTCTATTCTATTCCATTCCATTCCATTCCATTCCATTCCATTCTATTCTATTCTATTCTATTCTATTCCATTCCATTTCATTCCATTCCATTCCATTCCATTCCATTCTATTCTATTCCATTCCATTCCATTCCATTCTATTCTATTCTATTCTATTCTATTCCATTCCATTCCATATTCTATTCTATTCCATTCCATTCCATTCCATTCTATTCTATTCTATTCTATTCTATTCTATTCTATTCTATTCTATTCCAATTCTATTCTATTCTATAATCTAATCTAGTCTACTTTCTAGTCTAGTCTATTCACGTGTTAGCTTAATAACTGCTGCAAAAAAACTTGTAAAATTGGGGTGGTCATATGTGTGACCCATATTACCATCCTTACAATTGACGACTGTGATGGGCAGGTTCCATTACAATCATAAGTTGGGGATAACGTCTACCGTAGGCACGTGTGAGCATTGTGGAGCATTTTTTCCCCTTACAAATATTTCAGCCGTACATGGTTGGCAGTAAAGACGAGATGAAACGCTAAAGGCTGGTCCCAGTTTCTATGGTTTCTCTGCATTTCCTTCATTTTATGTGCTGAACTCTTGTTGTGTTGTTGGTTTTCATTGCCGCACAACATTTATTTGCGCCTTGCAACAGGGTTGATGAATTGAGAGCTCTTTGAAGGCCTCGCATTTAGTATAATGGACTCAAAACGGCAAGGAGGTTATATCAAATTGCTTGGGACACAGAATCTTATACCTTATTCCTTTTTCCCCTGATTGTTTCGCCTGCTATGTCAACTATCCTGACTGCTTCCTTTTAGACTACAAAATTGGTGTATTATTTAAAGGAGTTTATGGGCTCCGCTCGGTGTTTGTGTCTGCTTGCCGGCTTTTCTGAAATGTTCACCTTACAAACACTCTTAATTTAGAGAATACCAGATGAAAATAATGGAATTGTTGCAGGTGGCATTCAGAAGTACGAAGGGTAAAAGGTTGATGACATTGAACAGCTGAATCTGGTTTTCAAAGCCTATTATTATGTTTATTGTCGATGCCTACAAATAATGGGACGAAAATCCACACCTTTTCTAGCAAAGTATCTTTACCTTTGTTAATTTAGAGCAGTGGTGGCGAACCTATGGCACGGGTGCCAGTGGTGGCACTCAGAGCCCTCTCTGTGGGCACGCGCGCCATCGCCCCAGTCCTAGGCCTTCAGCTGGGTTTTATAAAACCTTTTCGCTTTAGGCCTCCGCCACTGTGTGCAAAAAAAAAAAAGCTTCAATCAATCAGTCAATTTCAACTTCTTGCGGGAAAAAAAAGATCTCGCAAAGTTGGAATTGATTGATTGAACTTTTTAGTCCCACCCAGTCTGCTGTTACCACTGCAGCCACGTCCACCCAATGGGCCACACCCACCCGGAACCTGATGATGCATAAGTGGATTTTGGGTTGCAGTTTGGGCACTCAGTCTCTAAAAGGTTCGCCATCACTGATTTAGAGCAATGGGTTTTAAAACTGGAGATAATTTGTAATCGCTTGTTTGGAAGTGAAGGATCCAGTTTGAGATGGCGACTGTGTCAAGTATGAAACTTTGGCAGCTACGTGCCTCAGTGTGTCAACTTGCCTTTAAATAAAGGGGGGGGAGGTGTTACTTTCAAGTGGGTAGATGGAGAAACGAAACTTCTTCGATTCAGCTGCAGACCGTGGGAGCCTGAAGCCTCGTCAAGGACACCAGAACAGGTGTGGATTTGAAGCAGACGGTTCCCATAACAAAGTGGATTTGATGATGTGGATTACGTTAAGACGTTGGGGATTTGGCTGGGAAAACTATTGTTTAAGTCTATAAGTTGGTGTTTGGGAACCTCAGAGTTAGTTTTGCTTCGACATAATCACGCAGTGTATTTAATAAACCATAAGCTTTTCAGAAACGGAACAAACCTGGAGTTTGATTTGGATTCCCGAGCTGGATGTTGACACATTGCTTGTGTAAAATAGTATTTTGAGGAATGGAGAATGACATTATTCAAGACCAGGGGAAGGGTATACTAAAGGTAGTCCTCGATTTATGATCAGTCGCTTAGTGACCGCTCAAATTTATGACGGTCTCCTCCAAAAAGGTGCTTACAACCTGGTTTTGGAGTTCCCACAGCCACCTCCCTCATAGCCACACGACTGCATGTTGAGACGTGTCAAACCATCCTCATTTGTGGCCAGTTGGGCAGGTCTGTGTTCACATGACCGTGTTTTATAATGTTTTACGAAAAACTGGCATTGGCATTTGGTTTCTGGCCAAAATGCTCCATAGTGCATAATAGGTTGGCTGTACGACCACCACATTCGCTTAATGAGCACCCCAAAAAAGGGCATAAAACCAGGCCGGTTACGCGGGCGACCTGCTTTACGATTGGCAAAACCCCATTACTGTCATAAGTCAAGGACTCCCTGTAATTGGATCAAATAGTTTGTTGTTAGTTGCGAAGTCGTGTCTGACCCATCGCGACCCCATGGACAACGTTCCTCCAGGCCTTCCTGTACCATCTTCTGGAGTCCATTTAAGCTCACGCCTCCTGCTTCAGTGACTCCATCCAGCCACCTGATTCTCTGTCGTCCCCTTCTTCTCTTGCCCTCCATCTTTCCCAGCATCAGGCTCTTCTCCAGTGACTCCTTCCTTCTCGTTAGGTGACCAAAGTACTTGAGTTTCAACTTCAGGATCTGGCCTTCTAAAGAGCAGTCGGGGTTGATCTCCTCCAGGACTGACCGGTTTGATCACCTTGCAGTCCAGGGGACTCGCAGGAGTCTTCTCCAGCACCATCGTTCCAAGTTCAAATAGTTTAAGGACCACTAATTTAGAGCAGTGAAACCTTCCCACCGATGCATCTTGAGTAGATCTTCCTTAAACGGCCAAGGATCCATTTGATGCTTATTTTAAACGTTGTCTTTCCCGATTTCTCCCTCTTAGTGTTTCAGGCACAACTGTTAATTCTGCGATTCTGTCCCTACTCCTCTTGTTTACCATCTGCTTCCTGCTTATCCCTAATGAGGTAGTGAGCTCGTTTTGCAGAAAACTGCTTTTAAAAGTCATTGATCTCTTGGAGAGCTATGCAGTCCCGTTCAGCTCCGGAAATCACACTGCTGCTGTAAAATCTTCCATCAATTACACAGAAGCATTGTTTAACAGCAAGTTGGCTGACCCTAAAAGCAATCCATTTTTTCTTCTGACGTTTATGTTGAAAGCAGCCTGCCCAATTTAGTAGGATACTGAGATCCGTGCTGGGCAGATGTTAGAAGAGCAGCGACACATCGTCCCCTCAGCTTGCTTGCTTGGCGCCAGCGAGTCGCGATTGACGTTTCGTGCCTTTATAGACAAAAGCTAACTGTGGCCTGAACATAACATCGTAATGCGGCAGCTTCTTCCTGTATCTCTACATTTATTTCCCTGAAAAGTTTCAGAAGCCATCATGTGGCGTGGTTACTCAAAGTGGCCGAATTCGTCCAACATTTTCATAAATGGGTATGTCTAGTTCAGGGGTAGGCAACCTTGGCTCTTTTATGACGCGTGGACTTCAACTCCCAGAATTCCTGAGCCAGCCTGGCTCAGCATAGAAATCTATCCCTTTCCCCTCAGCATGGCTGGCTCAGGAATTCTGGGAGTTGAAGTCCACGAGTCATAAAAAAGCCAAGGTTGCCTACCTCTGTCCTAGGCCTAAGCTGCTTTATGACTGGTGGACTTCAACTCCCAGAATTCCTGAGCCAGCATGGCTCAGCTTGGAAACCTCTCCCTTTCCCCTCAGCATGGCTGGCTCAGGAATTCTGGGAGTTGAAGTCCACGAGTCATAAAAGAGCCAAGGTTGCCTACCCCTGGTCTAGTTTAATGAAGAGAAGGACTAAGGGGGGACATGATAGCAGTCTTCCAATATCTGAGGGGCTGCCACAAAGAAGAAGAGATGGTCAAGCTATTCCCAAAAGCACCTGAAGGCACAACAAGAAGCACTGGATGGAAACCAATCAAGGAGAGAACAAACTACAACTGAGGAGAAATTTCCTAACAGTGAGAACAATTAGCCAGTGGAACAACCTGCCTCCAGAAATTGTGAATGCTCCAATTTTTAAGAAAATATTGGACAGCCATTAATCTGAAATGGTATAGGCCCGGGGTAGGCAACCTTGGCTCTTCTATGACTCATGGACCTCAACTCCCAGAATTCCTGAGCCAACAACGCTGAGGGGAAAGGGAGAGGTTTCCAAGCTGAGCCATGCTGGCTCAGGAATTCTGGGAGTTGAAGTCCACGAGTCATAAAAGAGCCAAGGTTGCCTACCCTTGGTATAGGGTCTCTTGCTTGAGCAAGGCTTTGACTAAAAGATAGATCTCCAAGGTCCCTTCCAACTCTGCTATTCTGTTAAATTTCCGATAAATCTAGCACCTTTGCATCCTGATCCCCCTGTCTCAGTCTCCCTGCATCTCCATACTGTATATCTTGGCAGAAGGAAATTGAAAAGAAAACAAAGCTTATCAGTGATAGAGATTGTCAGCAATTTAAATGAGGAGAACAACAGCGATGTAGCGTGGTAGCAATTTCCATGTCCTCAAATGAGTATTTTCAGTGGTCGGGATGAAGCAATAGAAGGAAATTCTACGATGATAAGCTCTTGGGTTTTTCACTGCAATTTTCTTAACTGTTACCGCAATCAGCAAAGCTTATACTTGCCTGATTTTGGCAGGAAAAGAGCTGGTGGCTGTTATGAGTGGGAAATGATAACCCACAGTTCCAAGCAGCCTTTTTTTAACCTCCGGATGATTCCTAACCTTAGAAATAATGTGTATTGTAGATGTGGTTTCTGATAAGCATCTTGCTTTCTGGCGATCGCTTGAAACTAGACTGTTACAATAAGAAGGGACAGGTGACAGGTGAAACCCCTCTCCTCCTACTTCCTACCTGGAAAAAAAAAATAAAAAACCCAGCTCTGGTACACAAGATAGCTCGGAGAAAAAAGGTCCCAGAATGTGACCCTTGATTTCATTATAAACAGGGCTTGGGTTGCTGGAAGAGTTTCCCTTCTGTATGTCAAATAATTTTCCCAAATGGCCACCTAAGTTCAAAGTGGAGAAAGAAAATTGCCCATTGAAGGCAAGCAGGTTATTGTACAAAAAAAAGGTGGGGGGTGGTCATCAGTTAGCATATCCCTTCCGCAGCATTTGGAGCGAACGGATTTAGAAAGACAGTTTCTTCCTTCTTTTTTTTAAAAAAAATCCTTTTTCAAGTAAGGAGTGAAAGTTCTTGCTGTGGAAATGACAGGACATAGATTTTGATACTGAAGGATGAAAGCTTATAACTTGTTAAGATATGGCACTTTCCGGGAAAATAATTTTAAACTTTTTCCTGTCCCGAATCATCCCTCTCTAAGGGGACTGGTTCGGAACAGGATTAGGGGACTGGAGGCTAAAGCATATAAGGAACGGCTGCTGGAATTGGGTATGTCTAGTTTAATGAAGAGAAGGACGAGGGGGGACAGGATAGCAGTCTTCCAGTATCTCAGGGGCTGCAACAAAGAAGAGGGAGTCAAGCTATTCTCCTAAGCACCAGAAGGCAGAAGAAGAAGCAATGGATGGAAACTAACCAAGGAGAGAAGTAACCTAGAACTAAGGAGAAACTTCCTGACAGTTAGAACAATTAACCAGTGGAACAACCTGCCTCCAGAAGCGGTGAATGCGCCAACACTGGAAGTTTTTAAGAAGAGACTGGACAGCCATTTGTCCGAAATGGTGTAGGGCAGTGGTTCTCAACCTTTTTAATGCCGTGACCCCAACCGGTCGTAAGTCGAGGACTAAACCGATCATAAGTCGAGGACTAAACCGGTCGTAAGTCGAGGACTTTCCCTGCCCGGGAGCGCCGCGT